TCTCGCCGCATCGTGGTACTGTCAATTTCTACGAATGAACGAGTATTTGTACTGGAACAACGGCCGGTTTAGAGGGGGGGGGGAGACGACAAGTGGATTATGCAAGTAAATCTGTGATTTAAACGTCGCCAGAATACGGGGAAAAGGATTTTTTTTTTTTTTTTAAGAAAACTTCATCCATATTGCAGCTAGATCAGTTTCCTCTAGTTAATCTCAGTCTGATCTCGCGAGTACGTAAGCCGATGACACACTGTTATCCTTTCACGTTGTCAGTTTTGTACCTTTTCTTTCTGGGTTGTGAGTTCGAACCGGAAACTCTCACAACACCCGAAGTGTATTATTGGCGGATAACCAGCATGGAACACATGGAAAATAAGATAAAAATAATAGGTAATCCATTAAGGTAGTGAGGAACCGAGAACAATTCTACCACAGCTACACCAGCCCAACTATCCCATCCGTCGCAATCTGGCAATTATTTCACAATCGCCTTTTTTTTCCCTTTTTATATGTGATGTAATGCTGACGAAACCGCCTTTGCTTTCAACGGCCATGGGGTCCAGAACGGCTTTGGGACTACTTGGAGCTTTATTGGGTTTGGACACAATTTTAAAGTTATAATATACCAAGCTCGATAAGGCACAAAGAGAGGAATACGTCCTTGGTTATAGCATCATACATTTTTTTCCCACCGGCATCAGCATTATCCGCATTATATAAACCGTCTCTTTCATTAATGTTATCATATTTCGGTCCATGGCATTAGTTATGCTGTATATACGTTGTAAGTAATATAGCCAACTAGAACTTTTTTTTTTGCAAACAACCATATTGTTTATTTTATTAAGTCAAATCTTGGAAAATAAATAAATGAATAAATAAAACACACACACACACACACACACACACACACACACACACCACACACACACACACATAATATTCCAGTGTATTTTCCAAAGTTAGGTATCAATCTTGCTCTCTCCACTAAATCGGCCGGCTGAGTATGAGGCGAACTCTTTATCCTTCTTTACCATATTATTCCCGAACCATAATAGTACAAAATAATAAATCATTTTGTGACAAATATAAAATGTGTATATCAAATAATGTACCTATGATACATACTAACATTTGCGAAAACGTGCTATGAAAGTGGAAAATTGTTTCTGGCAAAATACATCCGTGATAACAATCCAACAGTGGAATCGAGAAAGCACAGTCATATTGTAACTACGCAAACTCACGAACGACACACACACACACACACACACACACACACACACACACACACACACACACACACACACACACACACACACACACACACACACACACACACACACAGGAGCTGATAATAATAAACTGAGAAACAACAGGACAGTATCACATCATTATTGATAGTAAATTACCAATATATCATTTTCATGTCATGGAATTTGCATTCATCCAAGACGAAGAAAAAATGTAACAAAATGAAATTACAGTTTTGCGGTAGTTATCGAATCGATTGAAGGTCAAGTTTGAAGGTCAAATAAGGTCGACTCCCGAATATGATGGTAGGCTGTTTCTGCGTGTGATCAGGAAAGTCAGGTCCTTCAGGAAATACGGAAAATAGCCACATAAATTAAACTCATGATGATATTACGAATAGAAAATCAAAACTCTAGACTATATTACGAATAAGAAAAATCAACACAACGTTACGAATAAAGAAAAAAACTCAAAACGATATTACAAATGAAAAAAAAAAAAGACAAACATTACGAATAAAAAGCAAAAAAGACGATATTACGAGTAAAAAGTCAAAATTCAAGACAACATTACGAATAAGAAATCAAACTCAGGACGATATTACGAATGATCATGACGATGGCAATCCTTGTTTTATATTTGCACTAAACATACGAGGACCTAGAGGTAGGAGTGGGTAGGGTGAGAGGTAGATGGAGATATTTTTGAAATTAAAGTGAAAGAAGTTCAGAGAGAGAGAGAGAGATTAAAGAAAATGAAAGACCGTACAGGGCCCTATAACGAAGTCCAATGATGATGAATACATATTACAATTTCGACTCAACGCGCTAATATCCAATTTTTCTTTTTATCTTGAAAGCATGGACGATGGCGGTCCGTCCACGGCCTAAAAGACCTGCCGGCTTCCCATTCAATTGACGGAGGTGGAGGAGGAGGGGTGGTGTGTGAGGGGGGGGGAGTTGGGCGAAGCAGGTGAGAGTGGACTTGTTCTTGCCCCCCCCTTTTTTCTGAACAGGCTTTGCAGGGGAGTTGGAGTGACAAGAATAAGTTATTGCACTTTGAGTTGTTCCTTGGGATGTGTTCGATAAAAAAATAAGTGTTTAAAGATGCCTGAGGTGCATAATACAGTTTCATATATCAAACTGCCGACGAGTTTCCGAGATAACAAGGTAGTTGAAGTGGAAAATGGCTCGCAGTTGGGCTTTGAGTTGAGTAGTTCAGAATTGTGGTTCCCAAACTTTAATTAAGTATGTACTTTCGAAGCCTTGCATCACCACTACCAATAAATTTTTGCTATGTTCATCCCTCAATGCTTTCAGAAGCACCTATTGATTAATGCACATCAGTGAAATTATTAGCAATATTGGATCTTTTTCAAAATTATAAGATCCCTAAATAAAATTTTAAAAATCGTGAAATAAAAAAAGAAGAAATCCTGCCCTGGTTTAGGAGTCTCTAGTTTAGAGGAATATTCTTGGCGTACTTTTACTTGTATTTTTTAAGGGCTGATGTATAACAATTATTTTTTATCACCAACCTGTTTCATTATTTTTGGCGTAAATACTTAAGGCAGACCGGAAAACGAGTAAAATAGAAAATAGCTAAAAATAAATACTAAACTACTCGTTACTGCCATGGACCTCTCATTGGATCAACAATTAAATGGCAATTAAAATTACTGATATTGTGTGTAACGTTTTCAGCAGTAAAATGGCATTTCCAGCTCTATAGTTCTCATTTTGCTCCAGTTCTTCATATAACTTTGCTGTATAAATCTATTTATATCCATAAAATAGGTAATGTGTAAAAAAGACAGCCACACTGTCATGGCATTAATCACTGGCTCCCTAACAAGGTAGTGCTAGAGGGTAGTTACGTATATGTTCGCCTGGGGCCATCTACATTGTTGACGTCGTGGGGGTAGGTGCTGGTGGAAGGCAGAGCGTTGTCGGCAGTCGAGCGGAAAGGATAGCCAGAGACTTCTGTTTTTGTGTGTTAAACTATGATTTTTGCCCCTTTATTGATTTCTTTAAGGTATTTCTAGTGTGATGAGAAGTGAAATGGGAACTCCTATTCGAAGACGATGTGAGAATTATGAAGTCTTCAGATATAAAGTTGTAGCACTGGCAAACTGACTAGTTTTGTTAACTGTGACTTTTAGATGTTTGAACATTTTTACTCCTGATATTTGTTTAGTAAAAGACTAGAAACAATACTGTTTTTATTACCTCCTTTTTTGAAGTCTTTTCTTGTAGATAATGTATAATGGTAAAAGAAAGTGCGTTATCGGTGGTTCTGGCGGCCCTCGCACACAAGCTTTAAAGATTGTCTAGATGTCCATTATTGTGCTTTCAACCGTTATCTTGGCATTTTAGGGACACAGGATATGGACCGTGAAGCATAAAGTCCTAGCACCTTCTAGGAAGGAAGAGTAATATGGGGACCAATTCAAAGTTTAAAGGTAGCCAAATCCGGCCATTTTAAGTTTCTAATGAGGCCTTCTGATTATACACCTCTTGGTTGACTAGTAAGAAAAATAAGTAGATAATCTTTTGAATAAAGCTCCTAAGCAATCTATTAATTACATGGCATTACTTTAAGCCCTAAGGCCGGCGAACAATACTTCCAGGGCGTTGATAAATAAACCATTTACATGAGTTAAACATTGTCTTTGTCAAACCCTAGTCCACATAAACGTTAACGGATATATTTATCCAATCTATACAATTCTAGTGACTTAATACCGTATTTGTACCTAGATTCAGAAGGAATCTTCCACAAACCACTTCACATGCATTTCCAATACACTGCTTTTAGACATCGACCGGTGCGAAGAAAGTGTGGGGAACATATCAATTAACAAATTTCCTAAAACATGTAGCCAAGATACCAAAGAGTATCGCAATACTTTAAAAGATTTTGCTCACATTTTAAATACAGCACGAAGACTTTGGCAACCCCCCCCAAAAAAAAAAAAAAAAAAATGGAAATTTGTTCTGAGCAGGTAATACCAAGAGGGCAATGGCCACTGTACTTCATGAAAACAAGCGCAGGGGAAATCACATACGGGCATTGATTTTGGAGGGGTTTTGTACCCATCTCGTCAACCCAAGCGTGCCTGTGAGCAAAAAGTAAAAGGGTGGATTGCCTTTGTCAGTCCTGGACAGCCTTAGTACTACTCTTCCATTTTTACCCTTTTCATAACCACACTAACGGCTTTCTATAACCATTGGCATCTGAGTCCTATTTTTTCCACAATTGTCATAATGATGTATGCTCTTTCGTTCCCGGGGCTCTATTTTTTTTTCTATACGCCCCTAATGGTAAAATATCCGTTAGCTTTGTCTTTTTCCAAAGAAAGTGGCTCCATCCATCTTCCGTTCCCCGCATGAAATCCAGACAACCCCCTTCACTCTCCTCTCCCCTCTCCTCTTTTTCTCTCTCGCCCCTCCCCCTCTCTGGTCTCTCTAGCTCTGGCTTCCTCTCCTGTCTCTCCCCCTCCCTCCCTCTCCATCACTCTCCCCCTCTTTCCCTGAATCGAAAATACAAAAAAAGCATAATTAGAGTAAGCTGTTAGCGTTTGGTATAACCAAACGCTAACAGCTTACTCTAGATCTGCCATACACTACACCCTACACACTCCATTTCTCCCTTTCCAACACCCACGTCAGCGAGAGAGAGAGAAATCTTACCCTCCATCCAGCATCCGATATAACGCCCTCGCCCTCGCCTCCTCGCCAGACCTCCCCTCCGGATACGACTCTGGGAAAGCTCTCGCGTCAGTTCTACACCGCGGGCGATCCAGCCAACATACAGAAGGCCGTGGAGGAGCTTAAAGATGGGAAGCACGTGTTAGCAGCTCCACGGTCAGCGCTTATCCACATCCTGCACAGAAGTTTCTCAGAGGTTCGATTATCGAAGATTTTTTTTTTTTTTTTTTTTTTTTTTTTTGGGGGGGGGGGGGTTTTTTTTGGTTTCTTGAGGTTAGGCTTTCGAAGCCTAGTTTTTTTTTTTTTCTTTGAAGGGGGGGGGTTGTTTTTTTTTATCTTAGTTCCTGTTGCTTTATATATTTTTTTAACTCCATATATCTTAAATCATTTCTAAATCAAATATCTAAAAAATCTAATAAATATTCCGTGCACACGTAAGCGAAGTTTTGAAAATTGCTATTGCAGTAGTTTGATATAGTGTTTATTTGCCTATAAATCTGATAATTACCGAGATCTTTAACATTTTCACAGACGGGAAGATGCACGAGTTACATCATGTCTGAAGGATTCTTGGAAGCAAATATGCTGAGCTTCATTTTTCCTAAAGGATCGCCGCTTAAGGCAAAAGTCGATCCACTGTAAGTATCAGTTACTAAATTCGTTCGGAAAATCAGCTGTTTTTGGGATGAGGGAGAGAGAGAGAGAGAGAGAGAGAGAGAGAGAGGAGAGAAAGTGAGGGAGAGAGAGAGAGTGAAAGTGTGTGTGTGTGAGAGAGAGTGAAAGTGAGAGCGTGAGAGGGGGAGAGAAAGAGAGACAGAAACACATAGCCACACAGACAGATACCACACGCAGACACAGGGACAGACACGCAGACAGACACGGAGGAACACAGACACAGAGATATAGACACAGACATAGGGACTTGCAGACACGGCATGGAGACATGCAGACAAAGGGACGCAGACATACGGGCACACATATGGAGAAACACAGACATGCAGACACATTATCACGTAGACACACAGACATGCAGAACAGGGACACGTAGACACAGACAGATACAAAGACACGCAGGCACAGGGACACGTAGACATAGACAGATACAAAAGCAAACAGACACGCAGACACAGGGACACGTAGATACACGGACACGCAGACACAGACACAGATACAAAGACGTAGACACAGGAACACGCAGACACACGGATATGCAGACACACGAACACGCAGACATACAGGAACGGAGACACGCAGACACACAGAATCCTGACATACGGACACGCAGATATACAGACACAGAGATGCACAGACATGCAGTCACACAAATGCACAGACATGCAGTCACAGATGCACAGACACACGCAGACATACACAGAGATATAGAGACACGCCGACACAGAGACACGCAAACACACAGACATACAGGCACAGGGACGCGCAGACAGATACACAAACACACGGACACACACATACAGACACGCAGACACAGAGACGCACAGACACAGACACACAGACATACACAGAGATACAGAGACACAGACACAGACACGCAGATACTCAGCTTAGACACACAGACACGTAGACACACAGACACAACACACACACACGTAGACACAGATGACCGGAGAACAGGGCAAGATCAAACAAACAAACAGAATTCAATACTAAACCATCTCAAGCATCCCAAACACCCTGCTATCCCCCCCCCACCCCTCCCATTTTCCCTTCCCCTCTTCCTCCCACCCCTTCCCCCTAACGCCACCCTTCCCATCCCTCCCCCCCCCCCTCCGCCTCCACCCTGATGCCACCCTTCCCATCCCCTCCCCGCTCCCACCCCTTCCCCCTAACGAAATCATTCCCATCCCCTCCCCCCCCGCCCCCCACCTTAACGCTACCATACCCCTCCACTTCCCCCTCCCTCTCCCACCCTAACGCCACCCTTCCCATCCCCTCCCCCGCCCTCCATCTTCCCATCTATCCCCCCTTCTCGTCCCCTCCCCCCCCCCCTACACCACCATTCCCACCCCTCCTCCTCCCCACCCCCTAACTCCCACCCCTTCCCGCCCCCCAGCATCGTGCGCCTGCGAGAGACCGGGATCCTGGACCGCGCGTACCGGCGAGGAGTGGCCAACGCGACCGAGTGCCTGAAGCCGGTCGTCGCCAAAAAGCCCAGCGGCGAGATAAGGATTCTCTCCCTGGTTGACTTCGGGG